CTTTCTTCTTCTTTTGAGGTAACAAAGCAAACAATCTTTTTCTTTCTTTCATCATTTGTACGTTTAATGTCCGCCAGCTATGTTTTGTGCTTCAGTTTTTGTATTCATCATGAATACTATTTGATGCAAAGATCACACATGAAAAGACACAGCTGCCTAAACATAGCGATGGGTAACAAACTCGTAGGTATATGAGGATGATTCCTTCACCCAAACTGTAAATTAGAAAACAAGGACCTTGATTTGATTCAAATCTTAGAGGAGCATTTTATTAAGTGTCCATATATGTTACACATTCATGCATCATTTGTTTGCATTAATTTAGGCACATGGTTGATTTTAGTGTCAATGCTTCTTTAGATCTTAATGTCTTTAACACTTTTTCTGGATTTGTTGGTTTGAACAGTTTAAAAAATTGAAATGTGACTCTTGTTTATTGACCGTAATGCTCGACATTTTATTTGAGAAATGTTGTTTTTTTTTGTCTTGCATGAAATATTTTGGTCTTCTCAGCATTTTGATGCTGCCGCTATAATCTTTCACGTTGTGTCCACTCTCCATTTGTGAGACAGTTGCACATCACAGGACTCACATTTGTCTGTTTTCCCATTCAGGCGGTGCAGGCCCTGATGAGCAGCGCAGTGCAGCCTCTCCTCCAGTCGGTGAAAGACTCCATAGAGGCCATCATCATCACGCTGCACCAAGAAGACTTCTCAGGGTCAGTAGTTTTCTGTCCAAGGCCTTTTTACACCAGTGTGTAAAAATCACCAGAATGATGCGTTTGTGAGTGTAGTTCCATGTCAGATAATCCATGCAGAAAAGCTTCCTCAGGATCAGGGCTGGTATTCGTCTGTAACACTAAATGCTGTCGTGCTTTGCCCTCTATTGACCTCTCGCTTATTTTCTTTCTTTATGAACTTTATTTATTTATTTATTCCTTTTCATGTATTATTCTTGTTTTGTTGTTAATGAGTTATATATGCCACGAAGCATTGTTAGGATTCAGGACATCTCTTTTTTTTTTTTTTTTTTTTTTTTAATAATTTTGGCGCTTACTCTATATTCAGGTTTTCCCAGTTTTAGATGTTGTTATTTAGACAAACCTCTTGTGTGGCTGATTGTGTTTAGACGTCAGTCAGCAAAACAGAACGGGAGCTTCTTACTTGGTGAAAAAAAAGGCAGTTCGAGGCTTTTAATATCAAATTTGGTTAAAAATCCTGCTTTTTGGAAAACTGCCAGGAGGTCTGTTCTCATGCTGTTTTGTGTGTTTCATGAATCTCTACAGCAGAGGTGGAGGGTGCAAAGTCAGCATCATCAACCACATTATTGTTAGATAAGCCAGACTTTAAAAATCCAGAATGATCCTGTAAAAGTCACACATGGTTTATATTAAGCTCATTCTGATTATTTCTGCCACAGTCTAAGTGTGTAGCATTAACACGGACATCTTCAGTAAATGGAGCTGCAAGGTGGCTCAGTGGTTAGCACCGTTGGTCGCTGGTTCGTGTCCCGGTGAGGATCTTTCTGCGTGGAGTCTCCATGTTCTCCTCATGCAGCGTGGGTTCTCTCCGGGTTCTCCGGCTTCCTCCCACAGTCCAGAAACATGTTGAGGTTAATTGGTGATTGGTGATTGTAAGTAGGTGTGAATGTGAGTGTGCTTGGTTGTCTGTCTCTAAGTGTAGCCCTGTGATAGACTGGTTACCTGTCCAGGTGAACCTGCCTTCACCCTGAGTCAGCTGGGATAGACTCCAGCCCCCCATGACCCTAGTGAGGATTAAGCGGTGTATAGATGATGGATGGATCTTCAGTAAATGCCACACCACAGTTATAATGTGGGCTTTTCTTCAGTGTAATGTAATCGTGTGTTTGTGTTGCAGGCCTCTGTCCAGCCCTGATAAGCCAGACGTTCCGTGCTCTCTGTACATGAAGGAGCTGCAGGGTTTCATCTCCAGAGTGATGGTCGACTACTTCAGACACTTCCAGTGCGTGGACTTCATCTACGAGAGCACCGAGTCCATCGCCCAGAGAGCCATTGAGCTGTTCATCCGCCATGCCAGCATCCTGCGCCCGCTAGGAGAGGGCGGCAAGATGAGACTGGCCGCTGACTTTGCCCAGGTAAGAGAGAGCGCCTCCTGGGTGGATGCTCTGTCCATCTCTTGTCATCAGTATTGACGTCACGGCTTCACCAGTCTGTTTGTATGCTCATACTGTGTTCTTGTGTGTGTCAGATGGAGATGGCGGTGGGTCCCCTGTGCAGGAGAGTGTCTGATTTGGGGAAGCCGTACAGGATGCTGCGCTCCTTCAGGTGCGTTCACTCGTCGAACATAAAGATCAGCTCTCACCACCATCATATCGTACACTTCAATTTACCTTTGAAAGGAGGGAGGGTGGTTTTTATCAACATTTATATAAAGAAACATTAAAACCAACTGAAATCAAACAGTGTTCGCACTACTGCAGGAGAGTTTTGCACATGCTGTGTGGCTCGGTGAAGCCTTCTGACTGGGAATCACTCAGAGCTGAGTCATGGTCAACTAGCAGCGACTAAGTGTTTGTTTGTGGCTGTTTTCAGGACTGGTCACCCGTCACGGTCTGTTCTGACATCAGACAAGTTAACTTTTTGCAAGAGCTGCTGCAGTGTAGATGGTACTCTCATCAAGATAGCCTTCTTCTAATAAACCTGGTAGCTCAGTGTGGTGGCTGTGCTCAGCACTGAGGGCCAGTAAAACACTTTTCAGTTCTGGTATCGAGCCAATCAAATGGTCTTGGTGTGTGTCCAGGTTTTAAGATATGTCTCTCAAATTTATAGCCCTTTCCCAATACGCTGTAGGTGAATAGAGTTCACATTCTTTGAACTAAAACTTTCAATTTGAAATACTACAGACTGTGTTCCTGTCCAGGGTTCACTCTGTCAGCTGTTCCCATAAGGACGAGCTTTGCTATATTCATGGTTTTATTTTGTGTGTGTTTTTCCATTTTATTGGGGTGGTTGTAATTATATTGACAGATACTCAGGTGTTGTGTTACAGGAAGTTGATTTCCATAAACCAGTGGCTGCCTGGAAAGAAGGGATCCAATCTAAACACAGGATGCTGTGTGCTCTGTGTTTCAGGCCGCTGCTGTTTCAGACCAGTGAGCTGATCGCCAGCAGTCCAGCTGTAGGCGACCTGATCCCCTACAGCACCCTGCTGCACTTCCTCTTCACCAGAGCCCCATCTGAGCTCAAGTCACCTCACCAGGCCTGTACACACACACACACACACACACACACACAAACACACAGACACACACTGGTCTTGTTAGTGATACTTTGCACAGTATTCACAACTGGATGCTTAGTAATTCCTCCAATACAACACTGTAGCCTGTTAACATGAGTGATGTAGGGTTTGTTGATGAATTAAAGTCTACAAGAGACAGCAGTTGGCTTTGAGAGTGTGGATCAGCTAAAGAAGTTTTTCCCTCCACAGCGAGCAGAGTGGTCCATCGCCCGGTACTCCCAGTGGCTGGACGATCATCCCTCTGAGAGAGACAAGCTCACCCTCATCAGGTAAGTTGTGTATTTCATCTTCTTCTTTGGAGCGATGGTGCTGGTACGCATGGCCGTCTATGTGAGCTCTACGTAGGAACGCCATCACAAAGAAACCATTCTATCAGCACGGACACAAGCAGGACCACTTTGTTCATTCATCTCCATGTGACTGTGATGGTGGGGAATGATCAGCCTCTAGTGGTGACCTGGGTGTTGCCTGTTGATAGTCTGACCTCTGACTTGTTGCCAGGTGTTTTTCACTTTCCCGTTTCTGAGCGTAGTTTACAAACTGGTTTTCTTTCTTGCGGGCAGCAGATCAGTACAGAACGAACGCCTAGCAGCATAGAATGCGTGATTTCATGATGTAACGTCGGGGGAATGGCAATTTTAATAGGTTCTAAGTTACGCTTTTGTCTTTAAGGGCGAGTGTATCCTTTTAGGGTCCAATTTCCCTCCAAAATAAACACCTGATACACTTTGAAATGCATCAACACAGCCAGAATGATGAAAAAGACAGCTGTTCTCATGGGTGCATGAGGGTTTAAGAATGTCCTTCAGGATTATTAAAGTCATATCTTGTCTTGTCTTACATCAGCTGTCTTGTGCACGTGTCATTTTCAGGTTTGATCCACTGTTGCTAGTAGATGTTGAATTTTAAAAACTCCTGCATCTTTGAAAGCACCGCAGCACCACGACCAGCATCAAACATTTGTCTGTCTATAGTTGTCTTCTTTTGTACTGACTTTTCATGTGTTCTACTCTAAGGGGCGCTCTGGAGGCCTATGTGCAGTCAGTCAGGGCTCGGCAAGGGAAGGAGTTTGCTCCCATCTATCCCATCATGCTCCAGCTGTTACAGAGAGCCACCAACGGGTGAGAGGACGTGAGCGCATGAAGAGGACATGGCTGTAGGTGGGACAGTGTCTGGACAGAGAACTACTGTGTTGGGCAGCAGCAGAGCATGTGGAGAGAAGACGCTGTCAGAAGGTCCAGCTCTATGCACAATACACAACACCTCCTCTGGATCATCCAACCGTTTATAGCAACTGGACATCAGCTAAAATGTTCACCTGATATTTCTTCCTTTTACATGTCTGACTGAATCAAGTGACTCTGGTGTGTAGGGATACATGGGGTTTTGATTTTCTATTTATCTTGTGACCAAAACGGAATATGGGAATAAACTTGTCAATGATAAACGAACATAAATGTAACAGAAGTTTCACAGCTGGAACCACGTCTGGAAAGCTTCACGCCACTGGGTTGTACACGTATGTCTGTAAAAAGCTGGATCCAAATCACTGGTCAAACACTTCTAGCTGAATCAGGAATAACTGTCGGGGTTTTATCTTAAAGAACGGATCATAGTCGTTTCTATTTGATCTATAGCTGAAAGGTCAGGATTCAGCTTCTTCATATTGAGGTGTAGAACTCTAGCTAGCGGGCCCAACTCATCAGTGACTCCTGGAGGTTTGTTTTCAACACTTTAATATATTACTTCAGCAGAAGCAGAGGTATGGATCTCACACACAGACAGCATGAACACTACAAACAGGTATATTCAGATGGGCCACTTCCACTGATTGGCAGGAGGCTCCTCGATCAGCGGCTCCCATGGTTTCCATTCAGACATCTTCCTGGACAGGCGCAGCTCGTACTCGGCCTGCACACAGGACACAGTCACCGTCACTCTGGTTTCATTATTACACATTGAAGCCAGGTCACATGTCACGCTGCAAAGAAGTCGTTGGACATTTTGGGAAATCCTCCCACTTTGTAGTTGAGGTCAGACAAGAGCATTGATCTCACTCTTGTGCATTAAGAAGCTGGGAGGCCATTAGCTGAGCAGAGGGACTGGAAGTAGACCGGCTCTGTTCACAACTCATCGATACAGCTACAAATACCACATCATACACAAACAGTACTTGTGGTCTTAGTGGGAGTATCGTGTTCAGCTGTCTCCTCACAATATTTAATGGAGTGCTTCTACGCAGCGCTTCCACTGGTCGCCCTCAAAGCAGCAAGTCACTGCAGCGTCTGCTCATGATTGGTCATGACCTGTGAGTTGTACATTTGTGTTCATACAAAGCCAGGTGAGCCCTCCCCCTGTTTCCTCTCTTTATGCTCAGCTAACGGCCTCCTAACATGACACCAGTGTCACTGTTCTCACATGTGTAGCGAAGTGAAAGCACTGATTTCTGAAGGTTTCCTGTCATACATGCTGCTACAGGTGGCGGCTACCCAGTTAGCGTGGTGACTCACTTTGATGAACGGCACTCGCATATTTGGTTATAACCCAAACAGACTGAAACAGGATGACTACCAGATCAGCCTGTCTGCTCCATAAGGGGGCAGTGTGTTATTGGCGTAAACAACATATTGAGTAGTACTTGAAAGCTGTCATGCCTTTAATCCAAATAAATCTGTGTTGATTTCAGCTCGGTCCAGGTTTGTTCAAAGAGCCACTCAGTTCAAGATTGGACTCCGGTCCTGAGCTGGATTAAGGCTCGGGTCTGTGTGTCAGTGTGTCCACATCTGAATGGACCTGAGTACCATCATGTCTAATCAAGTGATACATTTAAACCACAATGGCTGTGACTTGGAGCCTCGTCTTTCTTTTTTAAAATCAAGTTCAAGTAGGTTGTCTACAGATCCATGTCAGGTCATGGAACCATGGAAGACCTCAAACACATACATAACTCATGTGTACCATCATAAACGGGCCTGTAGGAGGACGTTGACCAACACTGATCAACTGACGTCACAGTTGTTTCACTCATTTTTCCAGTAAACCCAAACAGCACTAATTTGCAGTATTCCAATTAGAAAAACCAGAAGTGTTACCCTTAGCACTGAATTCATTTGGTCAGTCAGCACAACCAATACTGAGCCCAACTGAGTTTTTTACTTCATGAACCTGATGAACTTCAAGTCAGGGCAAAGTCCCAACATTTGTGTCTGGTGACTTTTGGGAAATGTTTATATTGGACATTTAAAATAAAACAATTTTAAAGGAACGTCAATTTCTAGATTACACTTTGTTGTTTCTCCAAATGAAACCAAAAGTAACACATAAGTAGTTCCAGGACCAGCAGAAGTTGAAAATATGATGATTTACAGTTTCTGGCTCTCAAAAGTGTTGTCATTATGGAAACTAAAAAAATCTAAAAACCAGCCCATCATGTTTTATGGTTTAGAGGTTAATTCACACTGGTGACCCACCTGGAGAATGACTTCTTCAATCTGACCGCAGTTTATTTTCTTCTCCAGCTTCTCAACATCTGGCTCCTGTGATGACAGAAGCACCTTTAGCAAACATCTTCCATTTCAGAAGAAAATTCATCTTACAGCCGCTCACATACTCACTGCTTTAACGTGGTTGAACCTCTCATTGACCAGCTGCTCTGTGTACTTCCTGTAGGCAGCGTCCTGCGGTATAGTTTGCAGTGAGTCAAGGATCTTTGTGTAGAGTATCCTCAGACGCTGTCGGGGAGAGCAGAGTGACGTAGTTCATTACTAAATCCCCTCAGAGTGGTAAACAAGGACCACAGCAACGTTGTGGTGCTTAGCTTTGGTAAACTGTGTTAAATGTGTTAAGCATGGAGTCTGAGGTGTGCCTGGACTCTGTGAGACACCCAGCCCAGCAGAGGGACGAGTGGGGGGAGCTGTGTGGTGCGTTCACAGTCAGCTGCTCACCTCGTGGGGATTGTTGGACACTGCCAGGCCGACCAGGCCGGTGGTCTGCAAGAGAAGAGCAGGAGACACCAATTACCCACCCAGCACCCATCAGAGTCACAGACAGACATCTTGAACCAACACGCTTCCTTAGTGCCTCACACGACAGCCCCAGTTTGTGCCACCAGTCACAGAACTAACCAGCAGTTTGTCTGCTGAGTTAATTAACTTTATCACAATGTTTCCAAAGGCGACTTTTTGATTTGAGACAGAAGCACAACTTGAGAAAACAATGTCCCCTGATGACCGGACGGTTCAAACATCCTTCATGGCCGGATTTAATGCTAATACATAAGAAACACAGACTGGGGCTTCTCTTGTGGCCTTCATAAACCTGCTACACTCAGCTAAACCATTTTTTGAAAATCTCACAGTCTGAATGGAAAAATCTTGAATCATTACAGTCCAATCAAAAAAACTACTTTCACCTCAAAAATACCTGTACGTCTGCTGCTACCTGCAGGTGGCAGCGTGACCATACAGTCATAGACTGCAGCATTCTCAAAGCAGTGAATACCCAGAAGACTACACAGTGTGATGTATGCCACCACCAGAGGGTGATGCTGTGTTATTATTATCACCCATCTATGAATAAAGTATGTATTTAACCGTCATGCATCCATGAGGACATTGTTGTTCTCTTCACTTCTGATGTTTTTGACTGTCATAATAAAATAAAGGACATTCCACTTACTATGGAGAAAAATAATAATTTAGCATCATGTAAACGAACTGGGATTTAAAGGGTTAAAATCCTGAAAATGAAGGATGAGTTTGTTTTTTCATGATCAGGACAGATGTAGATAAAACAAGAACAAGAATTAAAAGTGAAAAATAATATTAATATGTACAATTTTCGGGGCCTTGTTTGTGACATGGGTAATTTTTTTTGACAGACCTCTGTGCAACTTGAGGCCTGCGGGTTAAAATCCAATATCTGTAGCTTGTGTGCTGAAAACCAAAAGTGTAGAAAGATGAGCACCCGTAATGTATCACAGATAGGATCAGTTATAGTACTCTTCACATAGCTACAGTAGGTCCATGTGGCAGTACCGTGCAGATTGGGCACCCGTTACAGAGACAACCTTTTAATAGAAATCTAGTCATCATAAAGACGGCCTGTGCCAGCATCAGGTGTTCATGAAGACATATGATCACGTGTCCTGCTGTTTGAATGACTGAATGTTTCTTTCAGGACCAGCTGAACTTAGCTTTTTACAACAGTACATTCCTACAGCACATTCCCAACGCCTCATCATAGACTTTATGTCCTCTGAATTTTCAGAGAGTGAAAATGTGAAAATATAAATGTTCTCGGCTGCTACTAGTGGCTGGAAAACACAACATTACACTGAAGGCAAAACCAGAGAACCTGCGGCTTGTTTTCCTTTTGTTATTTTTCTGACAGATACGTTGGTAAACAGTATAAGATCCTAACCTAACCCTAACCCAGCCATTGTAGTTTACTAAGAAGGAGCTGGTAAAGCCTAAATATAGGAACACCAGGGCCTGACCTCCTCACTTATGTCAGTTATGCTGCTTTCAATTTCCAGGAAAAGTACTTGAAATGAACAGTGGCCTCCAAAAGTTGAAGAGTAGAAAGAGACATGTCAATCTGCTGTAAACATACATATAACAGACTTCATGCACTATGCGTATATACAGAAGGCATGAAATAAACACTAAAGCGTTAAACATAAGATTCACTCAGGTTCTGGACACTGTACTCCATCAGAACCTAAGCAAAGCACAGCGAACGATTATTTTCATTAGCATTTGACCTGTGTATTATGAAAACATAAATATGGAATGTAAAATTTTATTTGAGACGGTATAAATGCCACATATTTGGAACCCATTCAGGCGAACACATGGGCATCATGAATATACGAAAAACAGTTTAATAATAACCCCGTATCGCCCTCTGTAGCCTTCACACAGCCGAGCTAGCAAACAGCTTAGCGCAGCGGCTAACACACCGCAGCGTCTCGCTCCAACTGCTAACTATGCAAACAGAAGTCAACCACGTAAACACAGCGACGGACAGGGTGCTGTGCGCAGTGTTAACGCGGGTGACCCTGTCTTCTTTCGCCTTTATTTAATTTCTATTAGTTAAACAGAAACATGACCTCTAGCCGTACCTTTTTCAGCAGCCCAGCCATTCTTCTCAGCGGACAAGCCCCTGACGTAACTTCCGGCAATTGAATACGACGTCGACGTTTTCTGACGCGACACTGTTTTAACCACAGACATCCATGAATTTAACCCTGAACTGTAAACTCTGGCAATTATAGTTGCAATACTGGGTTTGTGCATTGTTGCCGTGGATGATTTTTCTTTTTCTCTTATTTCTTTAAATAAATAAATACATTACCCTGAACTGCAAACACACATTAAGAACAGGACAACTTCTGCTCCTGTGGAAACATGTTCCTTGAGGTCAAGTGATGTTTTTCTTTTGACTGTTCCACATGTCTGCACTGATCTGGGGAAGAAAGCATCCAGCTTGATGCTGCTGCTGCTGCATGAGCTGCTCAGAGACCTGATGGCACCTGAAGCACGTCGTAAGACTGCATGAGAGGCAATGTGAGAAAATGGGTCAGTGCTCATGTTTGTGATTTATGTGCAACTTTAACTTTAAAATGCCAAAATTTGCACTATTTTTTAGTATATTTCGGTTTGTAAAATTTAATCAACTCATGTAATTTTACATGTGAACATTTTATCTCTTTCTTTGTAATGGTTTTTTAATTATCTTGATATATATATGTATATGTATAGCAATTTGAGGTGTGCTGCTACCTTCTTGGCCAGGTAAAAGAGATCCTGGCTCTCAATGGATCTTAACCTGGTTAAATAAAATAAACATATTATCCAGGATTCCCCACAAGAAAAGTCTCCCAGCTTTACCAGCCAGTGAGAATTTCTCTAAATGCTCCCACTGCTAACCAACAGCTCAAACGTTGTACACGTCTGCACCCTCAGTGAGCAGCTGCTCAGTCCACCAGGTTTATCAGCGATGAGCCAAGTTAACCAAATGTCCTGCTGTTGGCTGCAAGAGTCCTAATGCACTCACAGCATGTGTGGACAACGGTTTGTTTGATAGCTGTCACTACCACAGGACAATCCTTACTGTTAGCATGTCATGTGGCCAACTTGGCAAACGTTCCCATTATCTTTGATCCAAAGCCCACAGGTCAGAGCTTTGTGGAAATGGTCAAGCTGAATGGTATTATGGAACGATGGAATCTCATTTTAAACCAATAAACAAGGTCTGTGAGGGGTTCTGTGTTTCCATCTGTTTGCTTTTCTCCTGCTCTCTGTGCTCACACAAGCTCGCTGTCTAATAGGGATGCTCTCATTTACATGTTTTCCTGTTTCTACTGTCAGACAAGAGAACAAGAATGAAATACTAAATAAAATGGAGCCCATAAAGACCACATTAACTAGCAGTCACTTCATAACCACAAACTCACCAAATATGAGTTTAAAACAAGGCTGTGCTGTAAATTCAATGTAACTTTATAATCATCTGGGAGAAGAATGAAATGAATGTGGGTTGACTGAACAATCATAGGAACGTTGTAGTCTTTTACAGTCTGACATTTCTTCATGTCTGTGAAGATTCCCAGTCATCCAGGTCATGGTTATTCTTGTAGTTTAATCGTAGCAACTGGACTTGCTTGAGTCCAGTTGCTACGATTAAACTATGAGAATAAACATTTGTTTAAGCTTTGTCGATGTGGCCTTCTGTGGCAGCAGCATGGCTCCCTCTGCTGTCATGTTGGAACTTCACAGGGAACGATCACAGCCACCTACACAGCTGCTATGAAGTAACCGAGGACCTCTAAGGCTCATGCTTTGGTCCATTTCAAACAGTCTTTTCCTGCAGGTTAGTCATCATGACCACAGTATATCTGTGATGGACGAACACGGAGCCTGTGAACATCTGAGCTTTGTTCTTCCATGTCAGTCTGACGTACCTCCCCGTTATTTATTTCCATACCTGAGTGCTGCTGTGGCTGGCAGGTCAACACTACAGAGCAGACGGATGTTGGAAAAATTTAATGACATCAGACCAGAGCAGTGCCAGTTATATGCAACTGACAAATATTATCCATTTTTAAAACATCTATGTAAAAAATGTTTGGCAGAAAAAAAGACATCTATCTACAGTACAGTAAAAAATTCAAAGTATAAAAATATATTACAAATCTCAAGTATTTACAAAGACCGTTTCTCTCTACAGTCTACAGTTACAGCTGTCAGTTAGTTTTCAGTCTAGTTGTGTTACCTAAAACGAGCAACATCTCTCCTACACATCCTCAGTAAACTTAGCACCTAAAGGAGAAAACACTGGAGGCCTCAGAAAGCCACGACACACAGGTTACCAAACTCCCAGCATCCCTCGGGAAGAGGGAGGAGGACCGTAGGGATGGAGACAGAAGGAAAAGGAGCTGGTCTCCTCCTACAGTGGAGCTGGCAGGGAGGTGGTCAGAAGAACATCCTGTGGGAGGAAAATAAAGATTCTCATATTTCCTTCTGGTGTTATTCTATTCAAAAGCAGTTTTGCCCCAAACGGACACACCCACCGGTAGATGTTGGGGTCCAGCAGGACAGCTGTGTCTGTGGGCAGCTGGGACAGATGAACCACCTTGGTCTTCTGCTGCAGCCTGTCGCCCTCGTTCACCCACACATCTGGCAGTCTGACACACACAGAAGACACATTCACACTCAGTGACACGGTGCTGCTGTGATTAGTGGGCACACAGGATCATGTGAACATTTAAAATGCAGAACTTTTCATCAGCATGTCTTTTTAACTTGGAGTCATTACATCACGTTTTTCTTCTGTATCATCATGTAATTGTTGCATCATTACGTCAGTCACTTTTGGCTCCAGTCAGCACTACAGCTTTAGGCAAAACAAAGCCTGACTTCATTCAGTGTTAATGTGTCCAAAGATTCAAGGCTTCAGAAGTCTGGGAGGACCTCAAGTGAGCATTGAACACAAAGTGGCCGACCCCAGCAGCACGGCACAATGCACAAGTATGTGAAGAGAAATCACACAGGAGGCCCGATGCACCTGATTGCTTCTCCCTGTGCTCACATGTACTGGATTTAACACAGCTG